GAGAGATGAATATGGCTGTGCCCCACTCTCTAGCCCTGGAAGCTGAAAATTTGCTCCCCCCACTGTTAAGTGAGCACTCACAGGAAAACAATCAATCACTTTTGTCTCCCCAGTTTCCAACAGAACTCTCTGTTCTGTGACCAAGCGTTTTAATCTCAGGCACAACAGAATTCCCAAACTCCAAATTTTATAGACTCTTGCAGTGTGGACACATGCTCTTCCTCCGGGGGAAGAGGGTGGGTCTTTCCACACTTCTGCCTTTAGCTGGCTCCCTCCAGGAAAGTGGTTGCACCACTGTGCAGTGGTTCACAGTTTATGGCAACATAGAGCAGAAAGCTTGCACCTAGACTCTCTGTTCTCAGCTGGCTTCCCCGATCCTATGCCTGGGAACTCTGCTGCATTCAGGCTCCATCCATTCTTCTTGTGACCCCCAGGGATCCTGAGACCACACTGTCACACCTGGGATTCCACCCTGCTTCACCTGAGCACATTTAAGCCAGGGACATACAGCACTTTGGTAGAGTACTATAAGCTCCAATTTTGCACTCCTCTGCTTATAATACTTGCAGTAGCCTCCTTAAGCAGGCTCCCTCCGCACTGCCATATCCTTAGCTCTATCACCCTGGATTCAATTCTCTGCACCTCCTACCTTCCAAACGGTGGTCCCTTTTCTAATTGTAGACTTTCAGCATTCATTTTCTCAGATCTCTGATTGATTTCTCAGGTGTTCGGAATGATTTGATAACTATCTAGTTGTATTCAAGGGACAAGAAACACTTAGGGTCCCCTTACTCTACCATCTTAAATCTTCCCCTTTGAATAACTATTTTTGTATGGATAAATACCTAGTAGTGCAATTGTTGGGTCATAGGATAGTTCTATTTTTAACTTTTTGAGGAACCTCCATACTGTTTTCCAGAGTGGCCGTACCAGCTTGCATTTCTACCAACAGTGTAGGAGGGTTCCCCTTTCTCTGCATCCTTGCCAACATCTGTTGTTTCCTGAGTTGTTAATTTTAGCCATTCTGACTGGTGTGAGGTGGTATCTCATGTGTTTTTGATTTGTATTTCCCTGATGCTGAGTGATGTTGAACACTTTTTCATGTGTCTGTTAGCCATTTGTATATCTTCTTTGGAGAAATGTCTATTACTGTCCTCTGCTCATTTCTTAACTGGATTTTTTATTTTTTGGGTGTTGAGTTTGATAAGTTCTTTTTTATAGTGTGATTTTATTTTCCAGTTGTTTCCATATTGGTCACCCAGAATCCAACATGGGGTAAAAGAATAAGCCTCATTCTACCTCTACCTAATTAAATTTCCAAAATATGAAGACATCTTTTTTGGGTCCTCTTATCCTTAATGCCACTAATCTCTAATAATTTCACAATTTCTTTACTTCTTATTTTTGACTTTGCCCCTTCACTATCCACCTCAACTATAATTCAACCACATTTTTTTTTAAAGTATGGTTTCTAGAACTGAGCACAAAACTCTAAAATTGAGTTCCTTAGCACTGTGACAAGCATAATTTTTACTTCAATTAAACTAGTTCCTAAAATTCTATTAATACAGACTATGAATGCATTAGCCCTTGAGGGGCTTCATAAAAATATTGAAACATTAACTACACAGATTAACACAAATTCCAAATTACCTTTGACATTTACTACAATTTGGTGTATTTCTCCCACTATCTTCTTGAGTAGTTAGTTTTTGACAATTCTATCTGGAATCCTGACAGCTGAAGAGTCCTTCTTGGTGTTAATGACTTTATTTATTTATTTTTCATGGAGTAAACATGGGCATGCTCAGAGAAGCTAGATTTATTTCATAACAGTATTAAGTGCAATAGATTGATTACACTCTGTATTAAGTGACCTCATGGTTTTTTAAAAAGTAAAATCATATTACATATATTTTCTATATCTGCAAGTGGAAATTCATGTAATATGCTATAATATTTTAAATTAATTTTTAAAAATATTCTTTAAAGACTCTGAGCTGCTTTCTGAGATTTGCCTTTCCCTACCACATTTCTAGCTAATGGCTTCCACCCTATTTTTGATTAAATAAATGCCAGAGTAAAACCAGATGAAATCAAAGCAAACCAAACAATACAATGTAGCAGATCACCATGAATAAAAGCTTCATGAGGATTAACTGTTCCCTGTTATATTTTTTTTATTGAAATGTTATTATGAAATAGGACTGTACTTAATAGTGGTCAGTTCGTATTTTTATAATTAGTCTTTTCAAAACCAAAATAAAAATAAGGGCATTCTTTGTGATCTCTTCTGTGTACTAATAATTTATATCAACTAGATTTATTTATATCTTTATAAGAATTTTAGATTGTTCTTGAAATAGTATATAGATTACACAAGATTATTCTATCTGAATATAGGAGATAGTACTTGTTGCAGCAACACTATTGGAACTGGTCCCTAAGGGTTCATATTGTGTAACCACACCTGACCATGCTGTTGTTCTCCATATGGCAGTGGGGTTCCCCTAGTTCAGGAATGTGTGGCCTACAATGTTTGAAAGATGGCTTGAACTCTGGGCTCTTGAAAACAGCAGAATGAACGAAAAAAGAATATTCAAGAGCCATGAGTAAAATATACAAGTAAAATATACCTAAAACAAGACACCTATAAACACAGCTATATCACACGTGCATACTACGAACTCTTTATCCCTGCTTTTTGCAGAATGGAGGCATGCGGTGAGGGTATCTCTCTTGCTGCAGCTGCTTTCTTTAGCTGGAGCCCCTCTACTTCCCCATTTCTCCCCTTCCTTTGTGACTCAAACTGTGGAGTAGGAGATAGTTGGTTCAGGCTTGGCTCTGCCGCTCCTAGCTGTGTGTACATGGGCAAGCCATGTAAATCCAATGACCATCTGTATTTTCCCCCAGAAAACAAATGTGCAGTCACATCTGTCTTGAAGTGTTTGTGACCATGTTCGTAAAATGCTTCCACTAGATGTGAGTTTTAGGAATCAAGGACTATGTTCTAATCAACATTTCATGCAGTAAAATGTCTGGCACATAGTAATACAGGATAAATGGTATTTTTACATGACATTGCACAGGCATGCTGTGTTTTAGGAGGTTCAGATATGGCTTTTGATGGAAACAGTGGTTAGTCATTGCACTGGCAGATGGTTACAGGACTGATACATTAAAAATTTGGGGAGAAAGGCTATTCCTCAGAGAATTCAAAAAGTTTCAGAGGTGAATAGAGAATAATCCCTTCGAAGAGGAGAGTCAACACAATCAAATCATCCCAGGTAAGCTAGTTGGTAAATATTAAGGAAGGCCATGCTGTTGTAGTTCTCCTATTGCCTAAACCTAGGGCACAGATTCCAAGTTCCCGAAGAACAGCCTCAATAAAATGGAAAGTGTAGAGGAAACAAAGAGCTCAGAAGTAAAAGACTGATACTAAGAGGTCCCACAGATTAGCTCCCTCAACATCTGCACCTGCTGTCATCAGCACCTAGAAGTTGAATAAGGGAGATGGAGGCCTTGGCTTCAGGGTGGTTTCTCCCTCAGGGTGCTCCTTAGGATGATTTTCTGATTGGAAGCCTAGTGAGGGGTGCAGCAGGGGACCCCCTGGAGAGCACTCATATATGCTCCTTGCTGCAGACACAGAGGACTGGATAGAGCAAAAACAACTGAACAGGTTCTGCTTCCAATAGGGGCACACAGAGGGCCAGGGACCAGCTGAGTAACTCATAGGGGATGGAGCAGAGGAGTATTGAGATGGGATCGATTTACATGCTCTGTGAGCTACATTCCAATGTAGGCAGTGCAGGGAAGTCATGGAGCTAGTCCTCTTAGGTTGCCAGGAGGATGCTGGCCATCAAAGCTGAACAAAGCTAGAGATGGACCACCAGATATCCAGAGGCATAAAGTGGATAACACAGGAACATAATGTATTGACTGGTGTCTAGCGATTGCTTAAAATAAACAAACAAGAAAAAATCCTACTTCATATTCTTGCAACATTTATGCACATGGCCTCATAATTCTTTTTCACCACGAGCAACAAAACTTGAGCTGAATATTGAGCAGGGAAGCCATTTAATTCTAATTCTAATCTTTTGGGAATTCAAACAGAGAAAATAGAATTTAACAGTTGTATGGCTATTTGAAGTTGAAACACACACAAATATAAAGAAATCTTTGGAAAGCAGACCTATTTTTGTTTGATCCTGAAGGTAGGTGAGAGGAAAGTTTTTAAAATATTCTCATCAGGCTTGGGGAACCTGGGTGGCTCAGTCATTAAGCGTCTGCCTTTGGCTCAGGTCATGATCTCAGGGTCCTGGGATCGAGCCCTACGTCGGGCTCCCTGCTCACTGGGAAGCCTGCTTCTCCCCCTCCCATTCCTTCTGCTTGTGTTCCCTCTCCACTCTCTCTCTCTGTCAAATAAATAAAATCTTTAAAAAAAATTAAAAAAAAAATTCTCATCAGTCTTGATTTGTCTCGTGCTGGGAACCTGGTATTTATTCTACATTTATGTAAATATTATTCTCTAATGCCCTGTCTGTATTTAAAGAAATACATAGAAGACAAACACATACTCTCAAAATAGAAAGAAACATGTGAGATTAGACCTGTTTTCTTATGATGCGCATAACCAGTGTTGAATTCCTTACATAAAGCTTTCTGGTATTAATCAAGGACATTCATTATTTGTTACTCTGAGTCACATGGTTTACGTAAGACTGCTTTGTTGCAGTCTTGTTTCTTTCAAGGGTATAAAAGTATCAAGTATCTCAAATGCCAAGAGTGATGTTGTGGTGGAAAAATGCATAGCTTTATGAATTACACATTACACTACTGCATTCTAGTTATCTTACACAAAAGTGGCAATATTTTCTTAACCAAGATTTGGAGAAGAGTGATAGGGCTACCACATTGTTCTTTCACTTTTTCAGGCATCCTTCAGTTTCCAAAGGCTCAGATTATGAACTGAAGATAACATTTGCACGTTTGCTTACCACAGGTCTGTGGACGTCCCAGAATGCTCTCTCTTGGCTATCAAGGATCTTCCTTTCAATTTTGTCTCTCTTCTTGTCCACTCTGTCAACATTGTAACAATGAATAATAAGTAATGTTAATTGTAGCACCTCTCTGGACAAAAGGCCACAACTTGAACAAATTTTCCAAAAGACTCACAAGGACTCACTTTGCTTGTGCTTCTGCTTGCATAAAAATGAACTCCCACTTCCGAGCAAATGCTCTCTGCAGCCTGGCCAGGCTCTCCTGAAAAACATACCACAGATGAAGATGTTCTGGTGCTCATCTGACTACTCATTTCTCATTTATCTACTGTATAAATTTATCAAGAAAGCAATTACAGAATTTATAAAGTAGTGTGTACTCTGGTTCTGAATGATAAATCATGCTCACTGAATGTAGCTCATCTTCATATTAATAGTCAGAGGAAACAGGCAAACCTATTACAAATATTAATCTTATGAATAATGGACTTTAGAGACCACAAGTAAACAGCTAAAATACTAAAAATTACTTTGTATAAAAAAAGTGCTCAAGACTAATCCATTGGATTTTTCTGTGCCCATTTTAGTGAGGAATAGGAAAGCAATACATCTCTACTAATAATTCAGTCAGTCTATCCCGTTCCTGACAAGAATGTAAACCCCCAGCAGCTTACTACCGTTTCTAGTCAGTGCTTCAAAGTCATTTGTAAATCACAACACAGCAACTGTCTGAACAAATGACATCAGATTAATTTTATCTGTTTTGCAAAAACTATTTACTCAAAGTAAATGCTCTTTATTTCTCTAAGTTTGGATGTCTTCACTATATATAGGACACTTAATGTTTTTACATTTAAGTTTAGCAAGACATGCTTCTCCCTTCTCCTGTGAGTTTGCATCTAGAAGTTCACCATCCCCAATGTGAATGATGAGACAAAGCAAGCAGGTCAGGGATTTGAGCCATTATGACGCCTGATCTAGAAATCTGGTCCTTAAAATCCAGGGGTGTAAAGTCAATAGAATCTCCAGAAATGACCATAGGCCTTATTCCTGTTCATTTTATGACTTTCTTTGCCAGAAAGTCCTTAGTACTTACAGCTTCATAATCTGCCAATTCTAGCCTCGCCTTGTTTTGCATTGTTCTCTTGCAGAGGTAAACCGCTGAAAGGGAAAAAAAAAATCAATCATTTCTTGCTTGCTTATTAACTGGAGGCACTCACTAAAAATAAAAATACAGCATTATAAATCAAAACATCTTGGTCTTTGTCACTTTTTTCCAGTCATAATTTTCTATCTTTATATTTTTTGACAAAAATAAATAATTGGTAACATTTTTACTGAAATTCAAACATAGTGGTATTATAAGAAAATAGATACATTTAGAAAGTTGGTAACTGTTCATTTTTATTAAATAATGGGGAAAATAAAGCCTTCTAAATAACACATCAAACGAACCTAAACATCTAGATATACAAATAACACCATTGGGTTAAAAGGAATTGCATGAAGAGTGAATCACTGGCACATTCAATTATATCCATATTCTTCTGTCAACTGAAAGACTCTATTAACCTAAACTGAAGGCTTCTTGGCATCTCCTTTGCTACATTTCACCATCAATAATTATTTTGCCACTGGGAGAGAGGAAACTATAATATCTTCCTTAACTACAATATGACTACCTTTTAATACCATTTTTCTGAGGACTCAGTATCCCTGCTGCCAGGGAAAGCCCCCTTGGGCAGTAGATTTATGGGATGGGAGCCAGAGGGAGAGAAGAGGGCTAGAGCAGCACTGCTATTGAAAAATCACATTTCTTTAGTTATTTCAGGATTATTAGTAACTCTTATGATAATATCAAGACATTCAGAGCCCTCCAGTATCGTCCTGATTTCCAGGACACTTTTTGTTATTTTTCCATAATATATGATATTTGAGTCTCATGAAATTCAAAATAAACTATATATTTCAGATGCTGAATGAATCTGCTGGATGAGACTGTCAAATATTACTTTTTGTAAGGTTAGTTCTGGGGGTGTCCTTATAATTACCACCATTGCACCAAGCCATGCCACCCTCAGTTTCTGATCATCAAGTCCAGCTGATATCCCTAAGGAATTATCTTACACAGAAAATCTGAGATCTCTGTAAACACTGATGCTGTGCATTCAATTTCCGTCCTCTAAAGTTCCCTTTATGAAGGCCAAGGCCAAGGCCAAGGAGAAAGCCAAGCGTGGACTGATGCTAACATTACTACAGACATTAAGAACCCAGGAGACGATCTGAGAACACATCTTTCTATAATCTATCATGGGAATTTTATTATTCCACCAATATTAGTAATTTTCAAAATTGCTAATTCTCAAAATTGGTCAAATATAATACATATTGTCATGAAACTCTCTTTTTAATTGTTTCAAGTTTGCTGTGAGCGAATCCTTCCCCAGCCCCTGAATAAAAACTCAAGCAGCATCCACAGTCTTGCTTGTCACTCAGGTAATTCAGAGACCCAACTTATGGAATGTCCATCCCAAGGAATAGTCAAAAATTCAAGCCTGGTTTAAAGTCTTAAGGTCTTCCCCTTTCCCCCAGTTTCTGTGGGTGAGAGAAGCGTGACTGTCTTCTTTGTCCACCTTGTTCTTCTGTGTCCCCAGCTAGTATTGCTGACCAAGGCTTCTAACCTTCTGGGGTTGGAGTATAGGGAGGAAGGAGAGGATAGGGGGTGCTGTCATTCTTGCTTGACTGATTCGTGTGGTGATCTAGTGTTGCCATTCTCTGGTCGTGGCAGAGTTTTAAAGCTGATTATGTTTCCCATGTCACTTTGTGTGATGCTTTGGAGAAACCCCACCCCACCATTGCTGGGAATCTCCCACCTACAGGGCCCTTGTAGGGACTGACTATACCTCTGGCCTCTCTCTGCAGTGTGTTTGCCTGTCCAGGCTGTTCCCTAGAATTGGACTCTCTATCACATATGCCTTAAATTACACACGAGAGAAACACTCATGCACTCTTTGCCCTGAAAGGACACCACGGAACATAGCCACTTCCTTTTAATTTCTCCACCCATAACTAGAGAGCCTGTCTCTTGCCCCTTGTCATTCCAAGGCCTGGAGTTCATGATCCATTGTGTCCCCAGGAGTAGGTGACTCCTGTCAAGCACTCCCAGAAAGCCCTTGAAATCTTTGTCCCGGGGCTTGAGATGAGGGGCATCCCCACTCATTCTTCCCACTGGGGCTGATGGGGGCAGTGACTCCTGACATCCTAACAGCTACAAAATCAGTCTTTAAGCCAACATCTTACCCTTCAATGCCCTCAGTGGGAGCTGACAGCAGCTAGTGTGACAATTTGTATGTCCGTCTAGAATAACACTTTCACATCTGGTCTTGATCCACTTAACATTTTGGCTGGATTTCCATTTTAACATCCTGTTACAAAAATCACTTTCCACTCAGATATGTCACAGGGCAAGTAAAAATGATGCACACAGATTGTTTTACTTCAAAGTTGAAGTAGTTTAATTTTTAAAATCCTTATCCCTCATTGTAAAAGTTAAGATGATGCAGAAAAAAAAATAAATATTAAAGAAAAAATCATTCTATAATCTCACTTCCTTCATTATTTGGCACATTATATGGTTTTTCCCTTCTATACACACCTACAAACATAGACATGAATATCTGTATTTATATCAAAACTTTATCTGCATATATTTATTTAAAACTGTACTACATATGCTATCTTATGAGCTTTATCCTTTAATGTTATATTTGGCTAACTTCATATCAATAAGTGTTATTCTGTAACATCCTGAAAAATCATTTCATGATAATCCATTTATTATTTATTTAAATGAATCCTTATTGGTGGACACTTAGATTATATCCTTCATCTTGCAATTATTTACTAATACTTCTGCAAACATGTACGTATGGATGTATGTTTATTTTTTAGATATTTGATAATTTTCCTTAAGTGTCAGTGCTGAATGAGGGGGTGTGCACCTTTCAAGTCCTCTGATCTGTGTAACCAAATTCCATAGAGTTTAAGTATGAGTATGTCTTGCTTACACTCTGGAGAGTACATTTTCAGCAAAGCAATCAGAGTTATTCTGTTAAGACTTAAATCAGATTTCATTGTATTCAAACTTCCCATTTTTCAACTACTTCCTATCTCACCTCATTTCCGGTAAAGGCCAAAGTCCTTCTGTGCCCATTTCATTATCCTCCGACCTTGCTTCCAAACTACTCTCAAACGGTGGCCGCGTTCCCTTCAGACCCATGCTCTCAGCGACACCTTCCTCCCACCCCCACCCCCACAGCCCCTTTCCCATTGTCCTCCTCTACACGACTTTCTACCTCCTAACATACAACTTCTGTATCCATTTATGTAGGGAGCTTATTAGCTTATTTTCGCCCCCTGCCACCTCATTGGAATGCCAGCTCCATGAGGCCAGAGATTTTTCCTTGTTTTGTTTGCCCATGTATCCCCTTGCGTGGAACATACTTGGACACAGAAGATGTTCAGGATATATTTATTGAGTAAAAACATCACTAAATTTTCCTGATGATCTGAGAGTTTTTCTTCTGCGAATTAGGTATTCATGACTGCTAATTTTTCTCTTGGGGGATTTGGCTTTTTCTTATTAGACTTAAAGCCCATTTATACATTAGAGATAGAGACTAATATCAGATATATATATGCAGGAAATATATTTTCCCATATTTTTGAGGAGAAGTTTAATAAATGATATGGACAATATTGAGTATACTTCAGCAAACACTGATTTAGTTTTAAATTATATGTTATTTAAATTATATTTTTATATATACATACAGCATTCATACTACATTTTCTGCAACCTGCTTTTTTTTACTCACCATGACATTACTGAGATCCACCCAGGCACTTTTCTATAGCTTGTTTCTCTTCACTGTGCTAGTCTATCCTAGGAATGCAGCACACATTATTTAAGCTATACACCTATTATTAAATACTTAGATTGTTTTCTTTTTCTTTTTTTTCTTCTTGGTTTTATTGAGACATAACTGACATGCAGCACCGTATACGTTTAAAGTGTACAGTGTAATGAAGTGACTTATGTAATTGTGAAATGATCACCACAGTAAGTTCAGTTAATATCCATCATTTCATCTAGGTACAAAAAAAAAAGGTTTTTTTCCCCCTTGTGATGAGAACTTTTAGGATCTACTCTCTCAGCAACTTTCAAATGTACCACACAGCAGTGTTTGCTATAGTCTTCATGGTGCACGACATTCCCAGAACTTTTGTATCTTATAAATGGTGTTTCGTACATTTTGACCCCATTCTTCCAATTCCCCTACCTCCCACCCTTTGCCTCTGATCTTTTCCTTTTTTCCTATGAGTGTGTGTGTGTGTGTGTGTTTAACATTCCATATATAAGTGAGATAATGCTTTCATATTTTGGAGCTGCTATAAATAGTGATTCCATATAGGTTTTGATTAACATATATTCTTGGAATTGGTAGCAGGACTCTGTGGGACAGGCACAGTGTGAATTTTGTAAGACCTGCCAAACTTCTACCCCTTATACCCTCCCAGCAATATGCCAATATCCTCACCTTCATGCCAGACTTGATTTTTTGCCAATCTGGCTTGAGAGTGGAACAATTTCATTATGTTTATCTGTTTTCTTATATTTCCAGTATTTTCACATGACAGGTTTTAATGAAAAAAGATGTGTATGGATTGCCCCCTTCACAAATTTGGCTCTGTTTCACACTTTGTACCGTGGGCTATTTTTATTTGATCTATATTGCAAGCCCTGGTTTCATTTTCTACTTGTATTTGCCTAGTATGTCTTTGCTTTATCAACCTTCTTTAACTGAAAGAATCAGCATGTTTTACTTATCTACCCTGCAGACAGGTATTACTGCATTTTATTTATGACCTCACCTAAAGATACCTTCTATTTCAAAAGATGAACTTACATTAATTCTTGTAAGTTATGTTTGTTTTTCCTTTTCTTACATCTCCATCTCTCTCTCTCTGTAATTGTGATTTCTTTGTTTCCTACATTTTGTTACATGGGATGAGTTTTCTTTAATTCCTCTCCTAATAATTTAGAAGTGATAAAACTTACCATTCCATTAGTGGCCATTCTTATGTGTTTAAATAAACAC